CTCTAAACCCTTGTTTTGTTCTGGTCCAAGTTGCTGTACCATCATTTTATACTTTCCTATAGCTGCACCATTGTCACAGTACCCTACGAATTGTTGTTTTAATTGTCCCCCAAAATATATTTTTATTGATCTTAGAGAGGAAGGGAAAGCGAGAGAGAGATAGAAACATCAATGATGAAAGAGAACCATCTGGGGATTGAGCCTGCAACCCAAGTACATGCCTTTGACCGGAATCGAACCTGGGACCCTTCAGTCCCCAGGCTGATGCTCTATCCACTGAGCCAAACCAGCTAGGGCCAGGGATTTTTTTTTTTTAACTTAAATTCTCTATTGTTAAAGTATTACATAGATCTCCTTTTCCCCCATTGACCTCTCCCTGGTACATGCCCTCACCCACTACTGTCTGTGTCCATTGGTTATGCTCATATGCATGCAAACAAGTCCTTTGGTTGATCTCTTACCCCTTCCCCTCCCCTGCCTTCCTCTGAGGTTTGACAGTCTGTTCAATGCTTCTCTGTCTTTGGATCTGTTTTGGTTATTCGATTTATGTTGTTCATTAGATTCCACCAATGATCATGTGATATTTATCTTTCTCCGACTGGCTTATTGCCCCATGACCCAGGCTCACTCCCCAGCCCTGGACTCAGCCATCACAGAAACGATCCAGAGGCATGGCCGAGGAAAACCTACTAACAGTGATTCCGTCTCCAGGGAGTGGATTTTATTCTGCTTCCTTTCTTCTGTAATCGGGGACATATTGCTTCACGGATATCAACTCCAATGTGTCTTTAATGTGTCATCGCACTCGATCTGATTTTTCAAATTGAAGGCCTCAGAGCTTACCCAGCGTTTGAGGCATTTTCCTGAGAATTGAGCTTAGGTTTTTGAAACGTTATTGAGTTTGTTTTCATATTTTAACAAGATTGAATGAGGGGGTGGTGTCTGAAACCTATTCCTTTTTATTCATGGACCACCAGAGATGAAAAGAACAGCTAGTGCTTTTCGCTTACGGTGAGCGAGACATTTTCCTAAGTGCTTGGCATTTTCCTAAGTGCTTGGCATTTAGTCATTCATCTCATTTCACGACCTTCTTATGTGATTGTTACTATTGCTGTCACTGTTTTCCAGACGGGGAAACTGAGGCCCGGAGTGATGCAGTACTTTGTACAGGTCAGGTGCCAGGAGGTGGTGGGGCCCAGCTTCAAATTCAGGGAGCCTGGCTCCCCAAACGCCCTGTGTGTGCGCGGGAAGAAGGTTCCAGAGTAGAAATCCCCCCTTTGCTCTGTCTCGTGGCCTCTACATGGGAAAAACCCAAGGACTCCTTGCCATCTCTGCCACCTGCGCCCTGGTCCAAGCCAGCCTGATATTCCCTTAGGACTGATGCAGTGGGGCCCACAGTGCTCTCTCTGCTCCCGCCAGCGCCCCCTCCTGTCTGTTCTCAGTACAGCAGCTACCGCATTCACACAACCTTCCAATGGATTGTATTTCACTCCCAACACACTGAGTCCTTCCAAGAGCTTGTGTGATCTTTGGTCTCTCCTCAGCACTTCTTTTTATTTTATTTTATGGATTTCAGAGAGGAAGGGAGAGGGAGAGAGATAGAAACATCAGTAACGAGAGAGAATCATTGACTGGCTGCCTCCTGTATGCCCCCTACTAAATGTCAAGCTAGCAATTCAGGCATGTGCCCTGACCAGGAATTGAACTGTGACCTCCTGGTTCATAGGTTGATGCTCAACCACTGAGCCACACCGGCCAGGCTCCCCCCAACACTTCTTTCCTCATCCCCCCCTCACTGCCTCTAGCCTCCCCTGTCACTGGCCTCCGGGCTGTCCCCTACGCATGCTCTCTCCAGGCCTGCAGCCCCTCAGGGCCTGTGCACTTGGGGGTACCATTGCCGGGGCTCCTCCTTAGGCATTCCCCTGACCCCCCATATCACATTGGGGCACCCTCACCCTCATCCTGCAGCTCTCCATCCTTCCTCTCCATTATTTCTCTTTTGCGTGCTTACAATGGCCTGATAGGCCAGAAATCCTCCTCCTTTATTAGTTTAGTCTCTGCCTCTGAACACTGGCGTGAACAAATTATTTTCTGATTCTGTTTGCATTCCTACTGTATCCCCCGAACTGAGAATCCAGTGGGCGTGCAATAAATAGGTGTTAATTAAATGAGTGCATTATGAAGTTGTTTTGGACAATTAAGTTGAACTAACATATGGAAAGCATTTTGTAAAATGCATAGCATGAAATTGGTATTTAATAAATGCCAGGTATTAATAAAATAATGATATAATAGAGATTTTATGAATGAGGAATTAAAAACTGCAGACTAGCATGTAGTGGCAAGAGGATAATGAAGCTACAGATGCTTCCAGTATTTTCACTGACATCCCCGACAGGTGCTAGAGGAACCCATCAGACGTCACCTGTGTCCTCTGAAAATCTAGAAGGGGTGCTGGACCCCAGCCTTCCTTGGGCAGGTGAATGGTCCCCACACCTTGCTTCACTTCTCCACTTCGGGATCACCTGGAGAATCTTCTTAAATATTGACCCTGCCCGGCCAGAAAGGCTCAGTGGTTGAGCATTGACGTATGAACCAGGAAGTCATGGTTCAGTTCCCAGTCAGGGTACATGCTTGGGTTGTGGGCTTCATCCCTAACAGGGGGCGTGCAGAAGGCAGTGGATCAATGAGTCTCTCTCACCATTGATGCTTCTATCTCTCTCTTCCTCTCTGAAGTCAATAAAAATATATTTTAAAAAATAACAATAGCCCTGACTGGTTTGGCTCAGTAGATAGAGCATCGGCCTGAGGACTGAAAGGTCTCAGGTTCGATTCTGTTCAAAGGCATATACCTTGTTTGAGGGCACATCCCCAGTAGGGAGTGTGCAGGAGGCAACTGATAGATGTTTCTCTCTCATCGATGTGTCTAACTCTCTATCCCTCTCCCTTTCTCTCTATAAAAAATCAATAAAATGTTTTAAAAATACCAATAAAATTTAAAAATAAGTAAATGGATCCTGGCTTCCCCCCTCAGCTATTCTGATGCGATTGGTCTATGGTGAAACCTGAGCATTAGGGTGTGTAACGCTTCCTGAGTGATTGGAATGTACAGTAAAGCCCGGCATCTTTGGAAAAGCTTGGAAGCTTTCCACAGAACTGGCCAGAGCCTCAGACCAGCCCTGGGTGGCTGGGGTCTGAGGGGACTGGGTGCCACCATCTTGTGGCTGTGGGTGCAGTCATCTTTGAGGGCATGGCAGTCAATTAGCATATTCCCTCCTTATTGGCCGTGGGTGCTGCCATCTTTGTGATGGCATGAGGGTCAATTAGCATATTCCCTCTTTATTAGATAGGATAATTATTATTTATTTACTTCAGAGAGGAAGGAAGAGAGAGAGAGAGAGAGAGAGAGAGAGAGAGAGAGAGAGAGAGAGAGAGAAAGAAACATCAATGATGAGAGACAATCATTGACTGGATACCTCTTGCATGCCCCACACTGGGGATTGAGCCTGACTGGGAATTAAACCATGACCTCCTGGTTCATAGGTCCACACTTAACCACCAAGCCACGCCGGCCGGGCTAAAGTACCATGCTTCTCCATGTGACCTGCCCACCTGAGGTCTGCCCATGTCCTTTGCTGCTAAGCACGTGCCACCATGATAGACATGTCTCATCTGTGAGCCCAGACCAACACCTGCAGTGTCACATAAGACAGTCCCTCCCCTGTGAGCCTGGCTGTTTCTAGAATGGTTGGGGGTAGCACACCCCCAGGGCCAGCTCCATGGGCATGTGACCCATGCACTGACCCAAGGCCACGTTCAGCTCTCTGGGAGCTCCTATCTGTGTGTTCGCCAGGGGCCCCATGGTTTCGTTTTGCAAATTACATAGCTGGTCTAGGACTTAGCGCTTCTAATCAGAAGATGTGGTGGGAATTGCACCTGGCTCACTCCCCTGAGCAGAGTGAACTTGGCCCAGTTATTCTTCCTCTTGTCATTGCGGACAGGAGATGAGTGGGTCAATGGGCTCCATCGAAGGGGATTTTCTGAAAATGAAATAGGATAGCAGATGAGTGTCTGTACACGGCCCTCGGGTTAGATCTCGGCAAAGGCTCTCTTTCCCCAGCGGTCCAGATCAAAGCTGCTAAGTGGAAAAGACATTTCCGTTTCGAAGGTAGTTTAAACTTGATTGCCCTAGACAGAGAGATGTGCCTAAAGGCAGATCCTGGAGGGTTTCCATTGATTTTCCTTAACTCTTATTAATTAAACACGAAGACAGCAGGAATCCTCCTTCGACTTTCTTCATTGCATCTGAACAATATGTTGTCTAGATGGCAGATAGAGTAGCATCTTTCAAGGTATTTCTTTCAAAATGATCTGCTTTTACTTAACTGAAGATTAGAGAGAGGAAATATTGAGTTAAGTGTGTGTCACTGAAATAATAAAAGTAATCTTGGCCCTAACTGGTTTGGCTCAATGGGTAGAGCACCTGCCTGCGGACTAGGGGGTCCCAGGTTCGATTCCAGTCAAGGGCATGTACCTTGGTTGCAGGCACATCCCCAGTAGGGGATATGCAGGAGGCAGCTGAATCAATGTTTCTTTCTCATCGATGTTTCTAACTCTCTATCCTTCTCCTTTCTGCTCTATAAAAAAAATCAATAAAATATATTAAAAAATAAAATAAAAGTAATTTTGGCTTACATTGCTTTAAGGAGAGTTCTAGAATTCGAACTAAGAACTCTACCCTCAAAAGAAGGCTGCCTTGGATAATGTGCATGCATGAAGACTTCCTTAAGAGCCAGAAAAACACCAAAAGGTTGCAGGTTCAATTCCTGGCCAGGGTCGAATGGAAGACAGCGGATCACTGTTTCCCTCTCACATCAGTGTTTTTCTCTCACACTATTCTGGTAAGCAGAATAGGTTTTAGACCAGCAGAGAATGAAATCACCGGGCCACGGCCAGCAGACACTGACGTCTTGCTTCTCTTGTGTGTGTTTTTCCCACAGTCACATGACACAGGCACTCCCATTTGATGACCCCCGGTTGGACAGCTGCCAAATCATCCCCCCGGCCCCGCGGAAGGTGGAGATGCGGAGGGACCCTGTCCTGGGCTTCGGTTTCGTGGCGGGGAGTGAGAAGCCAGTGGTGGTTCGTTCAGTGACACCAGGTAAGCGGCCCAGCCCAGCCCTCAGCTTCCTGGGACTGCCCACCGTGCCCCTGCAGAGATGCCTACTGTTCATTTCCGCGAGTCTCATGCCAGGCTGGGAAAGCTGGTTTAATTTCCATTGCAGGCTGGGAGGGCTGGTGAATTTTTCCAGCACGTGGCTAGGGTCAGACTACCAGAGGGACAGAAATGGCGATGACAACAAGGTTTAGACTGTTAAACCCATTAGAAGGCTCCCTTTAGGCAAACACTGCTCCATCATTGGTGCCATGGAAATGACCCGCTCCTTAATGAGTGCATAAGAGTAACCAGAGGCAGGCACTGACTGCATTTCTGTCAGCTCATGACCAACTCCTCAGTGAGAAAAGCAGGAAGTGGTGTATTAAGTTACTGTAGGGCTTAGTCATGGATGTTGTTGGATTCTTTCACACAGATGCACTCCCCTCCCTTCCCACTAGGGGCAGAAGAGAGTTCCTTACACGATTGCTGTTGAGCAAGACCAAGTAACTGCCTTGGGCCCATGTCATATTAGCAAGGAGTCATAAGCCAAGGTTTGAAAGATGCTTGAGCTTGTTTCTGTGGTCCCTGCGAGGCCATAGGCATGTCCCTCAAGGGGCTGCTACCCTTACAGCCTAAGCTCCAGAATGAGCTCGGGGCAGCCAGCCTCCATCCTAGAGCTAAGTACCCCCTGGTCTTCAGTGGGACACAGAACTGCTCCCTGCAGCTGGCCTGGAGAAGCCCCTATGTGGTCACCCCAAAGACCCATAACTAATTGATTATTGGACACCCTACTGAGATTGGGGGACGGGGAGGGATGTCATACAGTGAACACTGGCCCTTACAGCGTGTGGCAAATCTATTAAATCCTACAATATGCTCAGATCACTTGTATCCTCCAACGAGAACTTGGCTCAGACATTCTCATTGGAGTATATGGATGTTTCACTATCAACACAGTTGAATATAAAGATGCAGTGGGCCGTCTTTTCCCTTTTAGAAACAATGCTCTTTTAGTAATGATTTATTATACACATTTATGTACTTATTTCAACGGACTCCTATGGACTTATCTTCAGACCAGAGCAAGCTTCTATGCTGCTTCTGGGATTTTGCAACTAAATCACAGGATTGTTCAGAAGTGAAGAGCACAGGCTGTGGCATCAGACTGCCGGGGCCTGATGGCTTTGAACCCTGCCCCTGCCCCCTTCTTAGATATTTTAGCTTCTATGTGAACTCCTCTGCCTTTCAGTTGAACATAACTATTTTACATCATCTGGATAATGAGAATCATAATAGTATCTACCTTACAGGAACAGGGAGAGAAAGAAATGCATTAGAAGAGGGCCAGGTACATACACTGAGTGGCCAGATTATATGATCTCTGAACGCATAATTATCTGGCCACTCAGTACATATATATTGATATTAGAGGCCCGGTGCATGAATTCATGCATGGGTGGGGTCTGGCTAGCCTGGCCTGGGGGAGGGGATATGGGTGGTTGTCTGGCCTGCCTGCTGACCTGCCTGCCTGATCAAGGGGACAATTTGCATATTAACCTTTTATTATATAGGATATACATTGAGTGGCCAGATTATTATGAGTTCAGAGATCATAATAATCTGACTACTCAGTGTATTTATTCCATAATGATCATTATTATTTTAAACTCTAAAATGTTTGATCAGCTGAGCCTGTCAGTTCTGGAAAATGTAAGCAACTAGTTAGCTAATATAAGTATTTTTAGGTTGACTTAAATTTTTATATTTTATTATCCTTTATAATAAAACGCTAATATGCAAATCGACTGAACGGCAGAATGGCAGAATGACAGGTCACTATGATGTGCACTGAGCACCACCAGGGGTCAGATGCTCAGCGCAGGAGCTGACACCAGCCTGGTGGCAGTGGCAGGGGGCGGGACTGGCAAGCAGGCAGTGCCAGGCTAGCCAAGGCAGGAGCCAGTGAGGGGCCCCTGATCGATTGGCAGGTCACCCTGCAGATAAGCCCTGATCGCCGGCCAGGCCTAGGGACCCTACCCATGCACGATTTCATGCACTGGGGCTCTAATTGGACATAATATGCCCCAGCACAAACACCAAAAAAAGGTCGACCACTTTCAACTCCCTCACAGGAGAATAAGTTTTCTTTTCACTCCTACCACTGCCTCGCCACTTCAGACTCCGTCTGCCCAGCTTCTAATTTCATTAGCTATGGCTTGCACTTTAGTTCTCTGTGTGATGTTACAGAGCTGGACACAGCTGAAAATATTATCCTCAAAATAAAAAAGATCTGTTGCTTTTTATATAAAATATTAGGTCTAGTAATAATTAATGTCGTTTTCTAATACTTTTTTTAAATCTAATTTATTTAAACAATACAACAAAATTTAATCAACAATATATTGTAGTTGCCATTGTTTTCTACTACTTGTGCCCAACGCTCAGGAAACATTTTAATCCCTCTGTTGTAAAATTCTTGTGATTTTGATGCAAAAAATTCGGTCAATGCATTTTTGAGGCATTCTTCATTATTAAATTTTTTTCCAAGAAGAAAGTTTTGCAAAGAACGAAACAAATGGTAATCGGAAGGGGCAATATCAGGAGAATATGCAGGTTGAGGGAGAACTTCCCATTCCAACTGGCGCAGTTTTTCAGCAGTGATTCTTGCAGTATGCGGTCGTGCGTTATCGTGGTGAAGAATTACGCCCTTCCGATTAATCAGCGCGGGTTCTTTTTCTCTTAAAGCTTGGGCTAACCTTTCCAATTGGGCACTATACACTGCACTTGTAATGGTTTGGTTAGATGGTAAAAGTTCATAATGAAGAATTCCTTTAAAATTCCACCAAACACACAACATCACTTTTTTCGCATGCAAGTCAGGTTTTGGCGTGGGCTGCGGAGCCTCATTTTTGTCCAACCATTGAGGCCGCCTTTTCAAATTAACATACAGCACCCATTCCTCATCTCTGGTAACAATTTGCTCTAAAAACGGCAAACGGTTTTGACGAGAGAGGAGCGAACTGCAAATTGTGACTCTTCGATTACGGTTGTTGTCGGTCAACTCATGAGGAACCGATTTTCCAAACTTTTGGACTTTGCCAAGTGCACGCAATTGATTGGAAATTGTTTTTTGTGAACAATTTAAAGTTGTCGCAAGCTCTTGTTGGGTAATTTGAGGATTTTGCACCAAAAGAGCTTGAAGAGCTTCTTGATCAAAATTGGACACACGGCCTCGACCACTCTTGTCATCTAACGAAAAATTTCCCTCGCGAAATTTCTCAAACCAACGCTGGCATTTTCTGGCGCTAACTGCATCTTGACCAAGAGCACTACAGATGTTTTTTGCAGCCTCACTTGCTTTTCTTCCTAATTGGAACTCGTAAAGCATGCAGTGCCGAATATGCTCTTCATCCGCCATCTTCTTAGCCCTAGTTTTGCAACAAAAACCAAACCAAACACAAACTTTTTCAAGCAAAACTTGTTAATTGCACTTCACACGTTCTGTAGATACCACATGTTTGAAGGTTATGCCAATACAAGTCAACACCAAGCAAGATTTTAAACGAATGTTTAAAAACGACATTAATTATTACTAGCCCCGATAACACACATGGTTTATAAAAATACAATGTAGTCGATAGTATTGAAGAAAACACATAAAAAACAAATCATCTGAGCGCCTCCTACTAAGGGTTGAGCATTATTCATGTACACAGAGAGCATGAGTATGATAGACAGTTGTGTGCATATACACATATACTAGTACATGTACATATGTATAGTATTATATGTGTGTATATACCCATTTTTTCTCCTAAGTGCGAGCACATTCGTAGTCTGTTTTGGAATAGTAGGCTATTTTAACATATCTGGTTGTCAGATTCTCCTGGGAGCTGCCTTAAGATTTTCAATTTCTTGCATTACCTCACTGTTCCTTCCACCCCTCCTTGCCCTGGCTCTCTTTAGCTGCAGACACTAATACCTTCAGCTAGATAATTTTGAGAAGAGTAGAACAAAGTGAAAACGGGTCAAAGAGTACTGTCTCCAGTCATTTTTATGAGTGAAAATGCTGGTCAAATCAACTGTGTCTCTCATAAAACTGACTCTGCTGAGGTCCTTGGTGATTTCAGTGGCGTGACCAGATTTTCTATGCCAGGCAGCCTGGCCTTCAGACTAGAGGGCCGGTGACAATTCTTTGGTATATGCCACTACTTAATATCTTGGAAGGAACTGTATGTTGCTTCCTCCAGAATTTTTTATTCAAGTCAGTTGATTAAACAATAATATTTCCATTTGATTAAAAAGCATAGGTCAAATATAAGAGCATGTGGTATTAACCTGCAAGTGCTTTCCACATCAGAGTAGTTAGCACCTATGATTCAAACAATTATCCTGAAAATGTTTCTGTGTTTGACCAGCATTTTGAATGTTAACCGTTCATTTGACTGAATTGGAGTGATTGCCTGCATATTATCCAGCAGCCAAAAAGCATCTCTCGTGTGATTTTCAGAATTCCATGTGTGAACACTGACTGTCCCCTCCACAGCTTGAAATGTATATTGTCCCTCACGATGCGGGGACATGTCCTGATTGTTCCCTCTCTCTTATGTCCCAGAAAGGAGAGAGTTTATGCTCCCACTTGAGTACCGTATTTTCTGACGTATAAGACAACTTTTGAAACGAAAAAAAGCCTGCTCAGATTGGCCAGAGTCAGAGAGGCGGTCTATTAAAAAAAGAACTGGTGTTGCCTCAGAAGTGGGGGCTAATCTTATACAGTGAATATAGGCCTAACCCTGTGTTTTAACTGTAAAATTAGGGGGGTCATCTTATACGCCGGAAAATATGGTAACACCATGCCAAGTGTCTGAATGGGTAGACAGCAACTGAATTGCTTTGAGTTCCATGTTCTGGGTGTCACATGTTTAATTATTCAGTAAAGTACAATAACATCATTTGTGTTTGTTTTTAATGAATTTGATGATGGTTTTTAAAAATATACTAGAGGCCTGGTGCACGAAATTCATGCATGGGGGGGGTGTCCCTCAGCCCAGCCTACACCCTCTCGAATCTGGGGCCCCTTGAGGGATGTTCGACTGCCCGATTAGGCCAGATGCTGGTAGGATCGGGCCTAAACAGGCAGTCAGACATCCCTCTCACAATCCAGGACTGCTGGCTCCCAACTGCTCGCCTGACTTCCTGGTTGCCCCTAACCATTTCTGCCTGTCAGCCTGATCACCTCCTAACCACTCCCCTGCCAGTCTGATTGATGCCTAACTGCTTCCCTGCCAGTCTGTTTAACCCTAATTGTCCTCCCCTGTAGGCCTGGTCACCCCTGACTGCTCTCCCCTGAAGGCCTGGTCACCCCTGACTGCTCTCCCCTGCAGGCCGGGTTCCCCCTTCCCCAACTGTCCATCCATTCAGGCCCAGTTGCCCTCAACTTCCCTCCTCTGCTGGCCTGATCACCCCTAACTGCCCTCCCCTAAAGGCTTGATTGCCCCCCAACTGCCCTTCCTTACAGGGCTGATCCCTCCCAACTGCCCTCCCATGCTGGCCATCTTGAGGTGGCTATCTTGTATCCACATGGGGCATCCATCTTTGACCACATGGGGGCAGCCATCTTGTGTGTTGGAGTGATGGTCAATTTGCATAGTACTTTTATTATGTAGGACTGTTTATTGACTTGAGAGAGAGAGAGAGAGAGAGAGAGAGAGAGAGAGAGAGAGAGAGAGAGAGAGAGGGAGAGAGAGAGAGAGAGAGAGAGAGAGAGAGAGAAACATCAATGATGAGAGAGAACCATTGATCGGCTGCCTCCTGCATGCCCCCTAGTGGGGATGGAGCCTATAACCCAGGCATGTGCCCTGACCAGGAATTGAGCCACTGGCCTCCTGGTTCATGGGTCAATGCTCAATCCCTGAGCCATGCCAGCAGGGCCTTGAGCTGGTCCAGAGAGCCTGATTCCTTCTAATGTGCAACCAGGGTTGAAGACAGAGCTAGAATCCCAGATGGGGTGGGCTTCCATTTTGCTTATCACATCCTTTGCTCATCATGAACCACAATCAGAAGAGGAGGCTATGCTGGGTCGATCAGCCACTGTCTTCTCACCCACACTTCACTCTCATTTGTCTCCAGGTGGCCCCTCAGAAGGCAAGCTGATCCCGGGAGATCAGATCGTAATGATTAACGATGAGTCAGTCAGCGCTGCACCGAGGGAGCGGGTCATCGACCTGGTCAGGTGGGTGACAGGCTCCTGTGTGGGGCCCCACTGAGAAGGTGGCTGCATAGCTGAGGCCTCACTGGGCTGAGGATGGGCTGTCCTGAGTCCATTAGGGCGGAAACACCCCCCTACACACACATTCCCCTGGAGAATACCCATGACACTGAACTCTAACATGAAAAGCCACGTGTTCTGTAAACACAACACCCCATCGCTCACCCAGTGTGGTGTTAACATTCAGAGTGCATGCACTTCAGCTCTAAGTGGTTTTGAGTCCTAGCTCTCTCTAGTCAATTATTTCTCCTTCCAAAATTGCTCAGACATTGACAGTCCATAATCCAGGAGCTCAAAATACCATGCCTGATTCAGTGTAAGTGATGAGTAATTTCACATACGGAATCCCACAGAAACAAAACCATATAGTTCACTGATGTTTCAAATGTGACTGAGTAATTCATTATTGAACTTTAAAGTCACCAGCCAAAGGCAAAGGGATAATCGGGCCAAAGCTAGGACAGTTGAAAATGTGCTTGATTGATAGGTTTCATTGGATCGTCAGTGTAAATAACTTGTTACATGATATTCTTGATGGGTACCAGGTCATATATTGTGTGTGATGTTTACATGTTCGCCAAGCATCTCCTTGGGAACCAACTGGAGTTGCTGTTCAGTGCATTTAGGGCAAAAGGGTTTTGACTTTTTGCAAACGGAGCTGTGCCTAGCCAATGGTCAACAAACTCATTAGTCAACAGAGCCAAATATCAACAGGACAACGATTGAAATTTCTTTTGAGATCCACATTTTTTAAACTTAAACTTCTTCTAACGCTAATTCTTCAAAATAGACTCGTCCAGGCCATGGTATTTTGTGGAAGAGCCACACCCAAAGGGCCAAAGGGCTGCATGTGGCTCGAATGCCATGGTTTGCCAACCATTGGCCTAGCCTGTTAAGGGATGCAATCATCAGAACCCTTTAACCGGAGAAGGGCCTCTCCTACCATTTCTGCATTCTTATCACCAAAAGTCAACCTGTGCTTGGGGCCTGGCATTAAGTGGAGCATCCGGGGTTTTACGGAGGTGGTCCCTCTCCCCAGCCTATTTGGCCTCAGCTTCACAGAGCAGTGCTGGCTGGTCCTGCATCCTTGGAAGAAGTGGGGGGAAGGGGAAGAAGATAGAGAAATAGACATAGAGGAAGCTGACTTGTAGGATGACCAGCCATCCAGGTTTCAGCATAGAGAGGCCTGCATTTGGGGAAACCCTCAGTCCCAAGCCACTGACTCGCCCTACGTGAGTCCTGGCATAACAATGGAGCCTGCGTGGCTGGCTGCAAAGTCATGCCTGTCCTCCCCAGACATCCGGATCTCCAAGGTTGTTAGTATTGGGGGGGGGCGGGGAGGGAGACGGGGAACCTCAGGGTACACCTACTTTGGGAGCAAAGTCTAGCTCCAACTTCCCTCTGGCCCAGGAATACAGGAAGCGGGAGTGGCTTTGTCTTCTCCTGCCTGGGCAGGAACATCACTGTTCGTATTTGGAATTACTTCCCTCCTGTGATGCAGGAGGCTATGAGCAGGGACATACCCCATCCAGGCAGGCTCCGCACCAGGCCGGGGGGCTGGCTGGCATCCTGCAGTGCCATGTCTGAGCCTGATGCAGGTCACACAGTCATTGCATTCCCCCTGGGCACACGCCTCTGTGATCAGTCCTCTTGATTCCTGTGCCTCGGGGACGAGAGAAGAAATGAAATATCTGTGTTTGTGTCTGCTGTGACTGCGTTGCCTGCTGCAGGACAGAGACAGAGCAAAAGCTATCTCAAATGTCATCACTTCCCAGCAAGCCTTCCGGGGCCTGGAGAAAGATTTTTTTAAATAAAAATTATGTTGTTGTTTTTTTATTATAGAGGAAGGGAGAGGTATAGAGAGATAGAAACATCAGTGATGAGAGGGAATCATAGATCAGCTGCCTCCTGCACGCCCTCTACTGGGGATGGAGCCTGCACCCGGGCATGTGCCCTGACCCGGAATTGAACCGTGACCTTCTGGTTCATGGGTTGATGCTCAACCACTGAGTCACAAAGGCTGGAAAGAAAGAATTTTTGCTTCTGGTTTGCTGCACTATAGAAGAAAATGGCATCTCTGTAAACAAAAGTCTTCATAGCACTTTACAGTATATATGTAATGGAGCTCAATGAATATTTGTCCAAATAAATGAACCACTTAAAAGTGGGGCAGTGAATGAGAGCTTGCAGTCCATCTAGCCTGCCACCTGGTTTTCACAGCCCATGAGCTCAGAATGCTTCTTGCCATTTTGAAGGGCTGGAAAAAATAAAAAGACTATTTTGTGACACATGAAAATCCTATGAGTCAAGGGCATGTGCCTAGGTTGCAGGCTCCATCCCCAGTCCAGTCGGGGTGCATACAGGACTCAACCAATGGATGTGTCTCTCCCACATACATGTTTCTCTCTCTCGGTCTCTGCCCCTCCCTTCCACTTTTTCTTAAAAAACAAAACAAAACACAAAACAATAAACTAATGGAAAAATATCCTTGGGTAAGCATTAACACAGAGAGAGAGAGAGAGAGAGAGAGAGAGAGAGAGAGAGAGAGAGAGAGAGAGAGAGAGAGAGAGAGAGAGAAAGAAAGAAAGTCCTATGAAATTCATAGTCACTGTCCATAAATAGAGTTCGATTAGATGCTTTTTCTACCATATCAGAGTTGAGTACTAGTGACAGATTATGGCACGAAGACTGAAATAGTTACTATCTGGTCCTTTAGAGAAAAAGTTGGCCAAGCTCTGCTTTAGGAGATATTAAGGTAACCGATTGCATATTTTTTTAGAAATATATTTTTATTGATTTCAGTGAGGAAGAGAGAAGGAGGGAGATTAAAACATCAGTGATGAGAGAGAATTATTGATCTGCTGCCCCTTCCCCCCCCCCCAGTCACCCTACTGGGGATCAAGCCCACAACCTGGGCATGTGCCCTGACTGGGAATGGAGCCATGACCTCCCGGTTCATAGGTCGACGCTTAGCCACTGAGCCACACTGGCTGATCTGATTGTATTTTCTTTGATTAAGCTAAATTTGGACTAAAACCCCAAATAATAGGCACAGTTGACTTCTCTCAAAATGGGGCTGTGATTAGGGCAAGATTCCCACACACTTGATAAAGAGACTGTGTATTTTAAAATGGACTGAAAGGGAAACAGGATGCTTTTGAAACATTGAGAAATACTTCAGGTACATAAAACTATGCCTTCTCAAGGCCGTATATGTGCTAACCTAGGAATTTTGCTCTTATAAAATAATGTCTTTTAACGGGCTCCTCAGCCAATATGTCTTGTAATGTCTACATCTTACACAAGATAAATATCCCATTTTCTTAGCCACTAAGGAATTTCAGAAAAAAATACTCATCATTTGAATAACACTGCAAAGTTCTCTCTTTAAAAACGAGCATATACAGCCCTATCTGGTTTTGCTCAGTGGGTAGAGGATTGGCCTGCAGACTGAAGGGTTCCAGGTTTGATTCTGGTCAGGGGCACATGTCTGGGTTGCAGGCTTGATCCCCAGTAGGAGGTATGCAGGAGGCAGCTGATCCATGATTCTTTCTCATCATTGATGTTTTGTTTTGTTTTGTTTTCTCTCTCTCTTCCTCTCTGAAGCCAATAAAAATACATATTTTAAAAAAATGGAATTATGGGGTGTGGGCACTAAAGTTTAAGACTACCTTTGTGTGGCAATCGTGGGCAGATTGGCAAGTTCAATAATTACAAAATAAACCATGTAAAAGGGCCCCATTTAAAAATGAGGTCTCGCATGTATGTCTCTTTACCGGTCGCTCCTCATCAGAATTATAATGGAAAGTTAAGTCAGATCATGTTCCAGAGCTATTGTGTCTGCAAAAGAGTCCATTAGGAAGGTCACCTTTCTGTCTAATTTCAGCCACACTTAGATGCATGCCGGTGCTGCTTAGTATAATAACAAAGAGCATCTGAGCATCCACGACATGAAATATGCATGATGATGTATGATATACTAGTGATAAGGCCTTCTTATGGGAAGACGGGCAAGCAATTGGAGTGAAAACACAAAAGCACAGCCCCTTGCTATGATGACAGAGCACTCTTGTCTCACCAAATACACACTTGTTGTGTATACGCTTTCTGACAATTGCAAATTAAAGAGCCTAGTAAGGAAAAGGCGATGATTCTGGAAAATGGAATGTGTTGGAAACCATTCTAATGAGAAAGGGGTTTGATCCGTTGTTCAGAAAGGTTATAGTGGCATAGAGCGATGAACACGAATAAGAAAAATGGCTTGACTCAGACTATTTGAGTGTCCCCTGGATTTTGTTAATGGCCATCGCTCACTCTCTCCTTCCATCTCTCCATTCTGTCAACGATTGAAGAACCAGAAGAAGTTTGAAACTAGGGCAAGTTCTCAATGATCTCATATGGCTGACATTACTGAATGTCTTAACCTCTTGTATGAAGAAGGAAATTGGGCCCTGGCCAGATAGCTCAATTGGTTAGAGCATCGTCCCAATATACCTGGGTTGCAGATTTGATCCCAGGTCAGGGTACATATAAGAGTCAACAAATGAATACATAAACAAGTAGAATAATAAATTGATCTCTCTCTCTCTCTCTCTCTCTCTCTCTCTATATATATATATATATATATATATATATATATATATATATATATATATATGCACATATACACTTGTGACAAAGAAATTCACACATAACAATAACAGGGCGTGGTACAAATTATGTTGAAGATGAATATGCATTTCAGAGGGTCAAGATATGGGAGTTACTACCTTCAGGGGTCAGTAGGGAGGGTCAGGGACACCACAGGATTAGACAAATGCAAGGTTCTATACTAAACTAGTGAGTTCCATCAGTGGAGCAATCCTTGATGAAGCCAGGAGGTCAACCCATTTTCCTACGCCATCTGCCACTTGGTGGCTAAGAGACCCTTAGACACTGAGCGGGACAGTCTGCTGGCCACCTCG